AAAAAATTAGACAAAAATATGCAATGTAAAACAAGTGATTGCCCAAATTTACGGYTCCTACACATGTCAAACTCAAGCCCACTGCATTTAATGAGACCAGTGAGAGCTTAAAAGATGTATTATTGTGTAAAGCTGCTTTGAAGCCAGCATTGACCATRAACTACATCTCCCATAATGCATGTCGGTCATTTCACCTGCAAAACAACGGTGCACAGGGTTCAAAAGTAGCAGGCAGCCAGCTAAATTTGCTATATAAAATCTCTTTTTCAATGCATTTGCACGAACAACTTTTGCTGGATCCAAGTTGTACCGAGAAGTGGGAATTTCCCACTTACAAGTCATAAGTTTAAACTGGAATGCCACTTTCAGTGGGAATTTCCTGTTGTAGAGTGGGAATGTTCAGAATTCAAAACTCAGCAGTAAGTAAAACTCTCTTTTTTTTTTTTACTTTTAATAGTTCTGAACCATACTTTACAGTGTTTATAAGAAAATTTCTTTAAAAAAACTGTTACTATGCAGGAAATAYCACAWAAAGTTAAGTTTGAGTTTGACTTTATTGAATGTTGAAGTTATAAACCAATTATTGTTTTAAAGKTATTGTTTGTTGGCAGTGCTCAGTTGTAGCAATGAGACATGGAATGTGGCATTTCGTGTTTAGTCGAAACATCAAAGTTCATGTGGCCCTCTRTGAAAATGAATTTGACTCCCCTGCTCTATATGGTGACGACTCTAGTTCAACTCAGGAAAGGTTATTGAAAAGAACAAGTCAGGAGATGGATAYATTTTTGGATGGATACAAGATTTTCCAAAGCAACATAAATCATAAAAACATAAATCTTGTTTACCTACAAAGAAACAAAGATCCCAAAACACAATTAGATATCAAGAGGCTGYCATCTTACCAGAGAAAACATTTTTCACTTCACTGATGCTATAGACCATGGTGGGGTGCGCCTGGATCTCACGATACGAGTTTTCCACCCGGTTTGACTGCAAGGTCAGGTAGTTCAGCTGCTCCAAACTCACCCCTGCTCCATCCACCCCCACTGTCACTGCATAGTCGACCACAATGCCATCCAACCTGGTGAGACAAACAGGATGCTGCTGATATTTGACTGACAGGACTGGTCCAAAATATATACTTTTATCAGGACTTAATGTCATTGTTGAAGCTAAACAATTGCCTGTCATATTAGTTTTATTTTTTACTGAGTTATGTTGTAAGACTTTTTGAAACACATTAGTGTGACAGTATGGGGAAAGAGCAGCTGAGTCAGCAGATGTATCATCATAATAAAAAACACTGCAGGGCCAAGATCTGGAAAAAACAACCATTAGCCTTCATTTGACTGCTGCAAATTCTCCCCTCTGACCTAGTTTGTGGGGTTGATGGCAGGCAGCTGAACACACGCAGACCCAAAGTCAGCCCCATTAGAAATAAAATACTGTTTTTCTTTCTTTTGTTAGTCAGGCAAACTGAGCCCTACTATTGAGGTGCTTTGTTATTTGAAGTTAATGCTCATATCAATGAAGTTTCTTTATGTAATTTATGTATTAGTTTGCATTTTATGACTATTATTTGTAGCTTAAATATTTGGGTATGTGGGCGTAAATTATTTGATACCCTGTTGATTTTGTAAGTTTGAAGTTTGCCCATTAAGAAATGARCAGTCTCACGTTTTGATGCTGATTTTTTTTATCTCAAAAAATCCAGCCATATTTCTCACTCTCACACTGTGTACCCATAGGACACACAGATTATCAGTGAGTTAATCGATTTAATGCACTCCTGATATAAACAACTATCATAGCTTTCCACAGAAATCAATTTATTCCATTCCAACATTATCTACCACTATGGGCAGACCACAGGGTTGTCAAAGGATGGAACAAGATGGTAGATCTGCGCAATATGAGTTACAAGATCCTCATTTAGGAGTTTGTTGAGAATCTTACAGCTTTTAAAGCAAATACTAGGAAGTGGAAGAAAATAAGAAATGATCATCAATAATCCTTCTTCTGGAGCTTCATTCAAGATTTTGCCTGATGGGGTGAGGATGATAATGAGGAAAGGTGATGGATCAGCTCACAACACAGGAGGAGCTTGGTAAGAATCTGAAGGGAGTTGAGACCACAGTCAACAAAAACTACACCATAATACAGTAAAACCTCATGCTGCCCACAGACCTCTTTGAATGACCCCATTTTGGAGAAACATTTCATTCTGACTGGATAGATGAGCTAACATCAAAGWGGACACCTGCTCTCATAAAAACACCATTAATTTAATAGCAGTTCAAGCAAATACAGTTTTATAAACCTTTTCACAACCATAGGTTTAGCATGACAGCGGGAACTTTATTATATTCCTGCTGAAAGTGCTCCAGGTTGCATTAAAAGGGCTACAGCTAGCTGCTGCTGGAGCTTGTAAATAAATAGAGAGTGGAGAGGACCACCACATGTCCCAGTGGATACTGGACTACCTCATGGACCGCCCACAGTATGTGAGGACTCAGGGCTGTGTCTCGGACACGCTGGACTGCAATACGGGGGCTCCACCGTGAACTGTGCTGACACCATTCCTCTTCACCCTCTACACTGCAGACTTCACCATCAACACCACGGGCTGCCATCTGCAGACGTTTTCTGACAACTCTGCCATAGTCGGCTTCAGCACAGGTGAGGACAACTCAGAGWACAGAYRGTGGACTCAGGACTTTGTGGAGTGGTGCCAGCAGAACCACCTCCTGATCAACGCTGCTAAAACCAAGGAGCTGGTGGTGGATTTCCGCAGGCGCAAACCCACCTCACTGACACAGGTGAACATCCAGGGAATGGACATTGAGATAGTGGACTCTTATAAGTACCTGGGTGTTCACCTGAACTATAAACTGGACTGGACTCACAACACAGACGCTCTTTACAGGAAGAGTCAGAGCAGACTCTACCTGCTGAGGAGGCTGAGGTCTTTTGGAGTGCAGGGGGCACTACTGAAGTCCTTCTTTGATAGTTGTGGCTTCAGCCATCTTTTATGGCATCATTTGTTGGRGCAGCAGCTTATCTACAGCTGAGAGGAAGCGGCTGGATAAGCTCATCAAGAAGGCCAGCTCTGTGCTGGGATGCCCCCTCAACCCAGTGCAGGTGGTGGGAGACAGAAGAACTCTGGCTAAAATAACATCAGTGACAGAGAACGTCTCCCACCCAATGCATGAAGCTGTTGCTGATCTGCAGAGCTCCTTCAGTGACAGAATGCTGCATCCTAAATGCACAAAGGAGTGCTACCGCAGATCCTTCCTCCCAGCAGCTGTTAGACTCAATAAGAGCACTGCTCACAACAATCTCGATAAGCATCCATGTTTGTGTTTGCACATTAACCAACTCTGTTTCTCAGTCATTACATAAACAATACTGTGTGGCAATTGTACGTCTTTTTTCCTGTACTGGAACACTGACTTAATGACTGAGTTCCACTCAGTTTGCACACCTCTCGGATCATGTGTCTGTCGTGTTTGTTTTCCTTGTAAATTTTTCTTTTTCTGCTTTTTCTTGCTTTTATTTATTTATTTTTTAATCTTATTTCATCTTTATAGTCTTGTAC